TATATATATATATATATATATATATATATATATATATATATAAAATTTTGGTTTATTTACTATTTTTTTCCCAAAAGGGAGTACCAGTTTTATTTAAAAAGATTATTCTTATTATTATTATTTGTTAAAGCAGTTAATAATTTTCAAGTGACGCTTCTTTAGTGTATCCCCTACGTAATGGCACGTAAAAGGCGACATATTAAATATATTATAATATACTTTCTGGAGATTCTCCTTGTTTGTTCTTTGCAACAGTGTTCAGGAAGCGCTGAGAACTACACTTCCCACCATGCCTTGCGAGGCAGCAGCTGTGCGCTCTTGCTTTGCCCGCAGCAAACTGATGATAACACGCCGAACAAGATAGAATGAAGGAGCGCTGAGTTGTTATTTTTTTTTTCATTTTTATAATCCCTAATTTCGGCTGGTGAAAATAATGTCCAACTCTATGGAGTAGCGCGATGGCTGTCGAAGGTAGGGCTGTTTTATCTGTGTTATTATGCTGTTTGTTTATTTTATTTTTTTATTTTGTGGGGGGGTTAATTAGTTACAGTTGGTTGTTTCCAGCATTGAACCCAGCCAGCTGAGCTGTGATTGGAGATATGGCAGTGATATTGCTGTTGTAGCTCCGTGGAAGTGGAATGACACACCGCTGGTATTGTCCACACAGTCTCTGTATGGCGCGGCTCCTGCTGGGGAACAGGTCTTTGCATAATCACCTCCGGCTTTACCTGCAGTTTCGTGTTCTCTGGCGGAAGAGCCGCAGTAATTGAGCTCTTCTTCCCTCATATGTCATTATATATTGTATCGTTTCATGCGTTTGGATGCAATACAGAGCGCCCTGTGTGCGTGCGTGCGCGCGCGCTCCGGCTGATCTCCGGGTCTAGTCCGTCTGAAGCTCCTCATGTGAGGCAGCAGGTGTTCCTACATGTGGACTGAAGGAGTCACTCTCTCCTCCTCCCTATTGGCACATTCCAGTTAAGGTAACAGCCTCTGAACGGTTTGGAGGCGCAGAAACGACCTGCAGGATGCTCGGTCAGTCTCCCCTCCTCGGTGGCATTTTATGGATGGAGAAACCGATGAGAGGTATGTTGGCGATTCATGCTTGCGCTCCCGGATCTGTGCTTCTGCATGCAGACATGAGACTGGTGTTACTGCATTCAACCCATTAGGTTATTTGTCTCTGACAACCTTTACGTTGGAGGCGTTGCGCCATATGACCTTTAAAAGCCTTCCTCCCCTTTAATTTATATTGATCATTTTCCTCTGAGAAAGTTGTGGGTTATTGTGGTTTAGACTGACTAAACTAAACAACATAGAACGCAGTTTTATTTAATATTTAATATTTTACCAAGTCACAAACCCCTCAGAATAACGGGGTACATGGGGATTGTAAAGCTGGAGTTTTCTAATCTTACTTTGCATCTCATGGTGTTTACACACTGCAATGTTTTCCACATTTTGCCATCTTACTTCAATTCAATTTAGGTTATTTATATAGCACCAATTCACAACACATGTAATCTCAAGGCACGATACAGTTCACCAGATCCTACAGTCAAATTGATTCAAAGTTTTCTATTTAAGGAAAACCAGTTGATTGCATCGACTCATTGACTAATGCAATCCCTCACACTAAGCATGCTTGTAGTGACAGTGGAGAGGGAAAAACTCCCTTTTAACATGAAGAAACCTCCAGCAGAACCAGGCTGAGTGTGAGCAGCCATCTGCCGAGGCCGACTGGGGTTCAAGGAGACAAAAGCAGAGATACAAACTGTAAAAACAGGAAATACACAGTGAGGCAGACGAGCTCCGAGCCAGCTCCCATGTCAGAGGATCCTAAAGCTGTAATGCTGCACGTTTTGATTAAATATGATTAATCGACATTAAATGGTTAATGTTTTTGATATGTAAGATAAATGTTGTTTGTATTTACAACAACACATCTCAGTATGTGCCTCCACAATTGTGTTATACATTCTCAAAAGCTTGTATTCTGGACTTTGACTGGGCCATTTTAACACATTCATATACATGGAATTGGTTGTATTAAAAGTCCAATTGGAAGGTGAACCTGAAAACGTTTGCAATCTTTCTTTCTCTTTTTTCTTTCCTGAGCTTTTTTTCCCCTAAAAGTCGAAGGCAAATCATATTTGAATATCAAATATATAAATGTACTCTTTATCACACCATATTTTAGCAAAATTTAGAAAATTTCTATTTAAAAAAATCCAATCTTAAAATATTTTATGCAGGCCAGTTAGTTATACGTCAGCTTGTACACCTACACAACAACTTCTTTCCCACTTTCCTCCTCTAAATAAATAATATATGACAGGAGAGTCATCCTCTTGCATGTTTCCGCTGTCCATAGCGTTCCTTGACAGTGTCATTTCTAAGTCACCAATTTAGTGCTACTTGGTCCCAATGGAATTTCCCATTTGGAACCTACTAGCACTAAGTTGCTAACTGGTTAGCAAGATGTTTCTGAGACACCGGCCACAACCAAACTTGCTGGCAAATCTTCCGCCAAAACAATCCTTACCCCTTGATAATTGACCAATCACATTCACTTTATTCACTCGTGTAAAGTCGGGCACCACTCGGGAGAATTCGGAAATTTAACGGTTGGAACAGACGTTTCCCTACAACCTCCAGTTTATTCCTCATTCAACTCTGACCATCTTTCCTTCTCCTGGTTTGTTAAATAATTGCCCCAGTATGATACTAGCACCACCATGTGTCATGCTGAGGACTTAATGCTTAGATCAGGGCTTCACAGCCTAAAGAGGATGTATTTTTGTCACAGTATCATTGTGATATAATAAAATTGCAATTGCTATCTATTATATTGGTAGTTCCATGATGAATTTCTTTCAAATCTGTTAACCTTAGATCCTGAAATTGACCACCGGTTACTGTGTCCATGATCTTAAAGATAACAAACTGTTGTTGAAAAACACATAGAGGAGACAGAGGAATGAGCAAAATACGGATTTTAGCATTTGATATGCTGCAGGCCTGGTTTAGGAGGATGTGTAGGAGGACGAGGAGGTTTTCCATTATAGTTTCCATTTTAGCAAAATGCTGTATGGTAGGTTAAAATCATGAACAGAGCCCCTTTTTTTTTGCATGCTGTCTCACATGGCTTTAGTCAGACAGTAAACATGACTTCTCATGGGGTTCTGTTGAAAGTCGTTTTTTAAAGAGGTGCACAGAAGAAACAACCGTGCCTGTTTAAAGCCCACTGGATTCTCTATGAGAGAGGATATCAAAGTTAACATCTGTGAAATTAGATGAAAGAATCTGTGAAAATAATTCAAAATATTCCATTCTACAAATACAGGTTTTTGGTCTTACAAGACTGTTAAGTATCCCAGAGAAACTGAAAACATCTGAAAAAGACAAAAAGTAAAATTTATGCAACATTTTTTAACTGCTGTTTTTGTGAAAACGCAAAGAATGAAATAAAATAATTCTCATGTGAACAGTTTGTGCCGGTGGTCACCTCTGTGTGATGTGTGATTCACTGACTTGTCATTGTGAGAGATGATTTACGAGTAACATTTGATTTCAGTGAAGCTTCAGTAGCAGCCAGAACTGAGCACAAGAGCAAATGTTTTTATTACAACTTCAAAGACAAAAACCATGGCTAAAATATTACCATGCAATAGATTCTTTAGGGATGCAGACAGAACGCTGTGTCTCAGACCTTTACTTTAGCAAAGGTTAAACAAACGCTAAAATGTTTCAGACCAACAGATGAAGGTTATTTTCTCATAAAGATGATCTAAAAGAGCTAAAACAAAGAAAAAAAAAGAAAACAAACTCAAATTATTTAATTCATTAGGGGAACAGAAAACATCCAAATCAACTGAATTCTGTCTGAAAAGGTAAATTGTAAAATAGATATTTTCAACCACTTTTTAGTGCCACCAGCCATGTAGAAGCCTGATTAATGACTGACTGAAAGGATTAAGAGATCACCTACAAAAAATGTACAAAACAACCCAAAGTAGGCTAAGAAATCTCGAAAAGCAACACCTAAATACATTTAAGACAGATGAGAAAAAAGGCATCAGCATTTATCAATCTAGAAAGGGTAACAAAATCATTTTCAAGTTCTTTGGGATTCCAGTGATTTTAGTGAAGGCCACTATCTAGAAAAGAAGAAAACATTGGTGAGCCTTCGCTGGAGTGGCTAGTTTACCTAAATTATTGTTGAAAGGCCACAGAATTACCTTAAACTGGCCTTACATCCTTAAACTTTTCAATATGGCTAAAATAAAACTGTTCTACAGGGAAGTCTGGCCCAGAGTCCTCCACAGCGTTGGTTGGGACAGCTTATTCTCCTTTTATATTAAGTTTTCTTTCTGGAACAGCTTATTGTTGTTATTTAGCTTATCCTTAATATTTAAATTGGTTTTAACATTAGTAATATTTTACTATGCAAAAGTTCTTTAATAGAGCCTAGGCGGATGTTCAACTGAAGAAACTTATTGCTCTCCTACATCCACCTGTGATACACCTATCAGCTTTGAACCACGCCTCCAAGAAGGCCAATCGGCATCCAAAGTTCATCTTCATCACCTCCGATCCGCACTTGTCTGCTCCTGTTGATGCGCTGTCTGATTTCATTCAGATGACCCCATTTCAACCCACCTCCATCCCCTCCTCAACCATCGTAGCTTCATCAGGGTTTCATTCCTCCTGGACTCTTACTGTGTTCCCTGTTTCATCTCAACTGGGCCGGCAGAAGACCGGCATGATGAGCCTGGTTCCGCCAGAGGTTTCTTCCCAACTGGGAGTTTTTCCTCTCCACTCTCGCTTAATGTTTGCTCATCATGGACAGGTTTCCTCATCCTGTGTTATCCAAGCACCAGCTCCACTGGATCTCCCCATAAATCTCAGCATACCGCCTCCTTAACCAGCAGTCTACAGACTCACCAACTTCATCCATCTCCACTCCACCACCAGTTTTAGGCCTGGGGGGGAAACAGGCCTATTCTTTGCTCCTGTTCATGCATATCTATCAAAATTAAGAGCTTTGTTACCTGCCGAGGTCTGAGCTCCAAAGACAAAGTCATTGTATCAATAAATTTCTTCTAATTGTCTTTTCTCTTCATGTGATTTTATCAGATTGAAGTATCCTTAAACCCTTAGTATATTTACTTCCTAGGAGGTATTGACAATGTTTGGTTAGCTATTTAAAAAAAATGTAGTGAGTTAAGCTACAAGTTATTCTACATTTGATGAAACTTCACTACACTGAAGCTGCTAACCAGAGAAATACAGAATTTCATTTTACAAAGAAAGAAAAGAGGTCTTCAAAACAGTTATATTTAAACTGCTGTTTCAGTGCGCAGAGTGGACAAAAAACTTGTGCTTAGATTTGTTCCTGACAGAAGAACAATATCCGGGGGGTAAAACACAGTTTTACAGGAACATCACTATTTTAAGAAGTGATGTTTTGA